ACGACTCGGTGATTCGTAGAAGACCTATTACCTATTCAATTATAATAATACGACATATCCGCTTGGGATAATTTAAAAAATTATATCCCAGTTTTTTACACTCGAACATTCAACGTACCATACCATTCATGCATACATGTCAATATGATATATTGCTATTGTCTTTATTTAGATAAATTTAGATTAATTAACAATTTTTGTATATTATTTGTGAAATTATTCCTGTGAATAATAATTTTACTATTAAACAACTAATGACAAAATTGAAATAACCACAAACAATACATATAAAAATTATATGTCACATAAATATTGTAAAATAAAAAATTATTCGGGTTTCGGATTAAAACCAATATTTTATTCGGATTTGGTTACTTCGGGTGTTTAAAAAAAAAAAAATCATTCAGGTTATATGGGTTTTGGGTGTTTGATTTTTTGAGGATTTTTAGGGGTGTTACGGGTTCGGGTTAATTTGGGTGCAAAGTCCTGCTAAAAATGTTTTAACTATGATTTTAATAAAAATTGTTTTAACTAACATTGTCATATCTGGTTTACTGATCATTTTTACTAGTATGTTATAATTAAATTATAATAAACATGAATAATAATTGGCCTTTTTAAAATATTTTTCAAATCTGTTTACATATATAACCTAACCTAATATTGTTCTATTAAATTATCAAAAAGTAAAAAATTTTAATAAAAATATTTGTTAAATAAGTATTAAAACAATACTGTTGAAAAATACATTGAAACAACATTGAAATAGGTACTTATGTAATGAACTCGTTGAAATTTATAATAAATTTAGACATTTTTAACTTTGTACTTAGTAGCTAACCATAATAGTTTTAGGCACGTAACGTAGGATAGATAGCCCACCCCTCTTAAATATCGTATTGTAAGTAACAAAGAATTTAATACATACAATATATACCACTTTATTGCATAATATTTAAGTCCCAATAATTTTAAAGGAAATTAATCATCCTCTCCTCAAAATAATTATAAATTTACGTCTCTGATTGGTCTTACTAAAATATGTAATTTTTTCAAATACGCATTACTTCTTTGAAGTAAAATTGTTATAAATGTTTTAACAATCGATTGAAAATTTTGCAAACATTGTATAGCTACTTCATTGGTTATATTTCTTATATTATGGGTATTTTTAAAAATTTATCATACAAACATCCATAAAGCTAAAAAATTAAGACAAGGTTTTTGTTTCTTTTATATGTACATGTTATAATAAAATCATGTTAAAAATAAAAAAAACTAGATTCAATACATTTGATTGCAATATTTAAATTTATAGTTACAGTAAAATATGAGTTGTAACTTACTAAATATATAAGATATATTTTAAAATGTGTTAATGAAAACTTAGTATTTTTAATATAATAGGGGTACAACAGTTGCTTCGAAAAATGCTCGGATGATAAAATTAATAACATTTTCATTGTAATAAATTATGTTTTTATAAATTTTTAAGTTTAAAGTAAAATAAAATATGTATTAGGGATATTAAAAATAATATAAAATAATTTAAAAATCGGTAATTCGTTTTAATAAGAATTGTTGCACTATGAATAATATATAAATAATATTTTTGTGTCTTAATTTAAAATTTATAGGTATGCAAATAATATCTCTCTCGTCTTTTTCTATTATATACGAGATAATAATAAGTTATAACCCGGAAAGCTCCAGTAAATATTTGAACATATTTATACGGTATTAAAAATTGTAGTTTTATTAAAAAAAATTGTGATCATTTCATTTATAAAAATTTCTAATATAAATTATTGTTTAATTATTAAGACTTAACCATTAAAATCCATACAGTATGTGTTTAATATATAATTATAAATAATATTTGATAAATACTAAAAATTTATTTTTTGTAAATAATTTGGTAACCTACGATAGGCTTAACCTTTTTTTTTTTACATCACTTAATGCCTTTAAGTTCTTATATAAACTCTACTCGACTAACCCATTCAATGTTTTTATACTTCATCTTTTTTGAAATTTTAAAATGTCGTAAATGTAAATTTTAAAATTAATATAGGTTTCTATACTTGTTAGAATGATATTTTTTTAAGTTATGGAGAATACTATTTTAATATATTTTATATACCACCTTTGAACTTTATAATTGTATATCATTATATTTATTTAATTTGCATTGTAACAATTATTTTATTTTTTTGATATTTATTATATTTATGAAATTGTCTTTATTTATTTATTTTAGAAACAAATAGTTAATGATTATATTCAAAAGAAACATTTACTATAACCAGTGATATTAAAATACATTTTATAATAAACAGTACCCAGTGGCGTAGCTAAGGGGGGGCTAAGGGGGCTATAGCCTCCCCCATGAGCCGTGTTTATATGTATAATGTATCTTGACTATTTAATAGAATCAATGCTCGTTTTAATCAAAGGCTTATTGATGTTATGCCACTTGAAGGACTTATTCCGGCCAATTTAAATATGTATGACGATATAAATATTATAAAAGCTGTTAAAATATACGTCCAAGATCTCCATGATGATACCTCATTTACAATCAGGGCTGACCTGTTCATATAGAGGCAACAATGGAGTCAAAATACTATTCCAAAACCGAATTCTGCTCACGATTCACCCTCTCATCGCACCAATCTTCGACCTAACATTAAAATACTTTTACAATTATTCGCCACGTTACCAGTTACCTCTTTCACTCCGGAAAGAACATTTTCAGCACTTAATCGCTTAAAAATTTTTTTAAGAAGCACCATGTCAGAAAATAGACTGAATGGGTTAGCTATGGCTAATATAAATAAAAAAAGAGCAAATTGATGAAAGTGAAATAATAACTGAATTATAGCCAGAAATTCGCCTAAGAGGATGCAGCTGTCAGAATGAAGCAAGTGACTAAACACTGAAACCAAAATTATTATTATTATTATTATAAATTATATATTAATAAATATTTTTAAAACTATAATAAAATGCTTGAATTATGTTTAGAAACTTGATGGTAGAAGGTGGGGGGGATTAAGGGTGAATTCTCATATCCTCTCTTACCTTACTTATCCAAAAAAATGGTTAGCCCCCCCCCCATTTAAAAATCCTGGCTACGCCACTGGCAGTACCTATTCCATTATAAACACATACTTATTAGAAATAAATTACTAAAATTGTGTAATTTGAAAATTTTTAACTAACAATTATAATTTAGTATGAGAAAATTATTTTTTGATAATATAATTACGAATAATGTATGGTGTAATTATTCCATGAACAGACTTAGGTGAAAATTTGACCCTAGCATTTTATGAACTGCAGGTTATTAAACATAATGTTAATGCAATATTAAACTATGAGTAGCATTATGAATAACTTATAATCTAAAATAGTACACTAAAAATGTCTACCAATAAATCAATGACATAAAAATCATCCTAAATACATCCTCAAAGACTAAAGTTTGTATTCCTTATGTTTTAATGCAATTAGTATTAATTCATTTTTATACATTGTTCATAATATTTTTTTTCAAAAAACTAATAACTATTTAAAATTTAATTAAAAATATAATAGGCAAATTAATAAAGTTGGCATTATTAAATACTAACAATAATAAAAAAATTTTCATAGTTTTAATTCTAAATAAATGTACGTTTTTATTTGAAGCAATTAAAAAAAGCTGACTCTGGAAGATTTTGTGCTGTCATGTCATTAGACATTGGTTAGAAGTTTGGTATTTTTACCTATTTATAATGAAATTTATTATTCACGTGAAGAACTATTTCGAGAAATTATTCTAAGTAAAACCTTTTCAATTACATTCCACGTAAATGGCTGTGAGTAATATTATTTTTAAAATCATTATTAAATATAGTTTTAATAATTCTATTTATCATTATTTTTATTCATTTACATTCTTTCACATCTCATACACTCATTTCTCCATATAAAAACAGTTTATTCTACTATCATGATCATGTTAAAAAATAAAAATATAAATATTAAGTCAGGTGTTAAAATTCCATGCGTTGAAACATGGAGTATCTTCGGAGTACGGTTGGTACTCGATACCTGTTGCGAAATAGGCGAATAAAATGGTTGCGTTTCACAGACGGTGCGAAAACTATGAGATACATAAAGATTCATAAGGATGATAGGTATTAATTTTTAAATGTTCAAATTTTATAAAACAAAAACCTGAAAAAATTCTACCTATTATAATTGATTCTAAAATATATTATTAAATATATTTCGTATGTATATCGCATATTTATCCCGTGTGAATTAACTAATTACTATGCCTTCAACAAACTTGTATATTTAATATGATGTAATTTATTTATTTTTGTAATTTTCTGAAAATTCTTTAACCTATGGAGAAAGAAGATTAAAAAAGAGTTAAAAAAATTGAAGAGTTTAAAAAATTTTACAATTATTTAAGATATTGTGATAAACAAATCCTCTTAGAACATCCTGTATTTTATTTGCCACTGTATAATTTATGATATTGTTATCGGTACTACACATGGCTATTATGGTGAATATATTCTACGTTACGTATAACATATTAAATTATGCATATTTTTATTATTTACTATATGTGTTATTGTATTATTTGCTTCAACTTCTGTATTGTGTACTATTAAATTAATTTTGATTTAACACTTATACAATATTAATACAACTCGTTGAATATATCAGTCGCTGCAATAGCGTTGCGTCAAACGAATTAAACAGGTTGTACTCTATAAGTTTATATAATAAAATATTATTATTATATTTAACATTTTTTCATATATGCAAGTATATATATTTATTTTTTTATCAAACACATAAATTGTATAATATTTATTCGTTAAAGCATTAATATTTGTTTTCATTTTATACTCTTTAAGGGTACAAATTAATTATTTTTAAAATTTTTCATTTTGTTTTACAAACCTTTCAGTTCTATATCAATTATATATACATACCATAATGTAAAATAAAACGTATTGAAACATCCGTTTGTAATACACTTGACGAGAGAAAAAAATTCGTACGAATGAAATTAAATCTCGAGTTACGATAAACCTTTAAAAACACAGACGACGAACACACGATATTCGGAAATCGGGCGACCTAGTCAAAAACACCGAGCACACTGAAACCATGGATACTTCAAAGTACCGCGTACGCGAGTTGTACAGCTTACAGCTTCGGTCGTCAACGAAAAGACTGGCGTACAGCGCCAGTGTAAAGCCCGCCCATTTACGAAACACAGGGACTCTGATTTATTTCGTGAATTTTAATTTAAAAAAAAAAAAAAATCGACTAACAATTTAAATTTTATCAGCTATAACTATTTTAACTATATTTATTATAACTATATTATAAATTTTATTATAACTATTTGATAACTATTTTATCATTCATAACTCTTTTTTTCTATATATATATTATGTCCTTTACGAATTATGTATATGTATATTACTTACATCATTCCACGATAGTATAGTAACTATTAAATAAAAAACAATGTTCAGTTAATATCATCGTAAAATGTAATTTTTTATATGGCTTGAAATGTTATATATACATATGTGTGTATGTGTGTGTGTGTGCGTGCACAAACGTATTTTACTAACACATATGTTCAGTAGCCAATAATACGATGAAAATAATTATTTTGATCGTATTATTACATATAAAAAATATTTAAAACATAATTAAATATAAACTCAATTTTTTTTAATTTCAGATATTACCATTCGAATGATATTCAGACGTTTCCACACACAATATTATTACTTATATTCAGTTCTGTAAAATACTTTTAAAACGAAGTATTTTCAATGGTATTTTAAATACTTTTTTTCTATTGAATAGGTACTTATTGGTATTGAATACTTAGTTTTTTTTCGAACATTTTATTTTTATTCAAAATATTTGGTTGGAAAAATATTGCTAATTATAATCAAAGCCCGAAGGTTTGTGAAAACCAGGTTTCTAAAAATAGATATTCAATAACAAAATTTCCTTTTGTATTATTAGATAGGTAACTGTTAATATCAGATACGCCTGGTTATACGGGATTACGAGAATAACAATGATTTTACCACAAATCACTATATAGCTGCAAGCCTACACCGTTTTTTATTAAATAAATTTATTAAAATAAATGTGTAGTTTAAAACCTACTGGCTACTACAAGTATTTCAAGTTTTAATATGAGCAATTCTAGCCATAATATTGATGATGAAAGTGATTCAGAACCGCATAATGCTTCTCTTTCGACTATTTCTCTGCAAAATGTTAGTTTACCATGGTCTATTAACTCCAAATATTTTTTTAAAAAAGTATTTGAAAAGTAATCCAAAGACTTTTTTAAAGTAATTGAGTATTATTTGAAATACTATACAATTTAAGAATTTGAGTAGTATCTTAAATACTTGAAAAAAAATGTATTTGAGTATTTACTTAAATACTTTTTAAAAGTATTCTTTACAGCTCTGCTTATATTAATATTAAAAAAAAAATAGAATTTTTTTTTAATTTTATTAACTTCAAATACTAAGATCATTCAATATTTTTAGTCAACCCTTTGCAGATTTAGAGGATAAAGTCCAACGGTTAATATATTGGAGAAGGTTATGATCTTATTAAGTGTTAACACTTATAGTGCATGATTTTGTCTTTTTTTTTCTCTTTGAAAACATGGGTGGTTAACTAATCCAAGGTCTAAACAAGAATTGTTTTTTCAGCCACAAAATATACTAAAAGTAAAATGTAAAACTTTTTAGATGATGATTTAGACATAAAGATGATACTTGAAATATTCTTAAAAATTTCACTTAGAAAAGAAACCCTTTTTTGGTAATGTCTAAATATACATTATATATTCGAAAGAAAACCGAAATATTTGAATGATAGAACTAAGTTAAAAATTCTGATATGAACATGTATGATTTTAGTTTTGATACATTGTACACCATACTATTGCTAATAATAAGTTAAACTAATGTAGTTTATTATTTTTTCTATCACGAATATTAACTTTTTGATTTTCTTTTTTTTTTATAAAAACATTTGACAAATACCTCAAACAGAAATGAATATGTCGAAAAATGCAATTTTTCATGTGTTATGACAAAAATTGAGAATTTTGTATATTATTTCAAAATAAGATAGCAATTTACTGAAAATAAAAACTGTATTATTTAGAAACAAATAAAAATACCTTGAAAGTCTAAGACAAATAAAGAATTTAATTGAAATCATTTTTCTAAATAAAAATAAATTATAGCAAACTATTAAAAATGTATCAAAACTGTCTAAAATAAACAATAGACCATATTTTCTTCATCGGATTTTCAAAATTTGAACTGAAATTCTATTTCAAAAAGTACATTTAATTTATTGAACATTTTTTTTTTCCATACAAAGATGAATTAATTTTCAATAAGACATAAAAATTCGTATATTCATGAACATTAGATAGAAATATTGTGTCAAAGAAGATGTAATAGATTTCTACCAAGATGAATATTGGCATATGTTATCGCAAAATCGTGAAGTATGGAGGCTTTTATGTTTGGATGTGTGGTCTAAAAGGCCGTAAACAAATAATAAAAAAAAAATATAGGAATATAAGATTTTCCAAGTTATCAATTCAATTTTTCGTATACTTTCTTGCTTTAAAAAATCACTAAAAAGTTTTCAATGAAATGACCTTTTTTAACTGCTATTCAAATTCACTCATCTGATATACCTAGAATTTTTTTCTGGAATGGGTTTCAATATTTTTACTACTACGTACTTCATATGTATTTATTTCACAAGATAATAATTTTGATAATAACTAATTTTATAGTAGTAGATAGATCGAACAATGGATTATATAAATAACCCTGGTAAATGTTTATGATATCCAACTTAAATTGTATAAAAATATTAAACAATAATTTTTTCTAAATTTGTTAAAATTTCGGGTCGAGGGGATTGAACTACTCCGTCCTTGATCCGATGATGCGTATCACATGGCGTTCGCATATGTGCAATAAAATGCGATTTTGCTGCGCCTGGCAAAATAGATAAAAAAAATTAATTTTTCATATGATAAAAACTATTTTGCCTGATTCGAAAATATGAATCCACCCAAACAAATTTTATAAACAAGAATTTTCATTTTTCCAATCAGGTTTGGTCAATTTGGAATATGTCGTTGTCCGTTGATGAATCCTCACATCGATTTTGACAAAAAAATGTTCCGACTATATCCGTTTACCACGAAAGCTACGGCCGCCGGACACCATTTTAACGATAAAATATCTCAGTGCCACTACACTAAAACTAAAAACAAAGTAACTTAAAAAAAATTTGTGGCACCGAGAATATGACTTTTAAAACTTTACATGTAACATAACCGATAATTTCTGAAAACACTAAATAACAATCATTTACGCGTAATTATAACATTGCGATTACACAGCCAATTAGTCGTCCACGGAGGCATTTCCATAACAACTCTTACTGCATTTGTTCCCTCTCATCTCATCACAATCCTGAACCGTCTCAGTCTATACATTTTTCTATATTTAAATTATCACTCTTAGATTTTGCATTAACCAATATAATTTTAATTTCATTTTTATTATTTAATCTAGTTTTTTAATTATTTAATTTTATGTATCCATCAATTTTGTAATCGCGCCGAATAAGTAGGTACACAACATCTACTATTTTTTTATAGTTAGGAAATAATACTAAATATCTATTAAAAACCTAATCTATTAAAATAAATAAATAACAATTCATATCAAACTATTATAAATTACATATATTAATATATGAAATAATATTTTTTAATATAAAAAGTAATTTTTATGAAATGCGATTAAGATAAAAAAATATTTTTTTTTTTTGTAAAATAATTAATAATGTACATTTTTTATATTAAATCTATTGAAATGTATTTGTTAAATATAATTTCATAATTTCATATTATAATATATTAATTTTTTTTAAATATACATCAATACTTTACACTCATAATATTAACATTTGTATTTACCATATAACCATGCTAAATAAAATATTAAGAAATAATTTATTGTAAACTAAATCGTTTTATTTATGTTCATAACTAAACATAGGTTAACTAATCATTTTTTTTTCGAGAAAACTACAGACAATATCCGCAAGTAAGATAGGTATTTTTGTTCTTATACAGATATTGCCTTTTGGAATATTTTATCCATTTTTGCAATTTTAAGACCGATCAAGGTAATTAGATATTCAAAATCAACCGATGGCATTCGTATACGATTTTTTAACTATCAGCTAAGTTATAAATATCTTAGATTATTAGTTAAACTTGATCTACCGAAAACACTATGACTTTTAAAAATATTTCTTCGTCCCCATAATTTTTCTTTTCGTATCTGTCTCCTTGTTTTCAATACTAAATGAATTAAAATAAAAGCAGTGCAGGACTCTTGCAAATTATACATTAAATACTCTTGAACAGTAACGAGCAACTAATGGATCAAAGGCGCGCATAACATTGGGGCACATGCACATGTAACATTCTGACCCAGGGGCTATTTATGGGGGAGGGTGGCTGATGGGGCTGCTGCCCTCCTGAAATTTTTGTATAACGTAGTAAATTACAGTATTTGTATCTTATTCACAAAAATGTGTACATTGATGATTTACCGTGTTATATGGATTCAATAGAGGCTGAGTATGACTTATGGATAACAAAATGGAAATCAGTAGAACAATCATCACGACCAACGAACTCCATAGATGCTCTAATTTCTTGTGACAAAATGTTGTATCCGAATATAGGATAACTGCTAAAAATACTTGTAATACTTCCAGTATTAACAGCGTCAGCGGAGCGCAGTTTTTCGACCCTGAGAAGACTAAAAACTAATCTTAGAAACTCTACTTCTGAAAATCGTCTTTTCGGTTTAACATTACTTAAGATTCATAGCGATATTTCAATAACAGATGAAAATGTTTTAAACAAGTTTGCCAACAGTGAGAGAGCCAGGTGACTTCAACTTATAAGTATATAATATTATATATTATAAAAAATATGATTTTTTTTTTTTATTTTGTAAACTGTATTAATTATTATATCAATATCTTACATAATTTGAGTGAATAATATATATATATGTTGATAGGTCCTATTCACTGTATAAAAATGCATAACAATGATGTTATAGTAGTTAACTAATATGTAAGTACATCGGACAGTCGTTTATTAATGATAGAATAATACGACTCCGATGAAAATACTGTTATCTGCGTTCGACCTGTGAAACTTAGTTACCCGTGAAACGAAATTTTGGAAGAGAAGGTGGCAACTCAACAGTGGCGTAGGTAAAGAAGAATTTGGGGGCTTGACCCTCTTCATTGTCAGAATCCCAGCTAGTTAATAAGTAGGTTAAAATAAAAATAAACAAATATAAACTATAAAACCCCCCGCATAAATAATCTTTACCTACACCTTTGCAACTCAGGGTGTCCAGAATCAAAACTTACCTGAACAATTCTTGCAAAGTTTTCATCTTTAAGATATCGGGAAGACTGGGCCTGGTAGGCTTATTCTAAACCTACTTTGTACGTTAATATATAGTCATATTAGTGATAAAATATTAAGTATATATAAATAGTATTTATAATTAATGCTATAACTAAGCTTCTTGTCGAATTTCGTCCATGGTATCTACGATTCAAACTTTGTATTACATTTCCCGAATGTCTTTGACAAGCAATTTATGATTACCTGATAAGATTATCGCACAAAAAGAGGTTATGTCATGAAAAACATATTCTTATATGATACTGGTAATGAATTGTTGCTTGATATTATTTTCAAATTTACCTAATATATTTGCATAAAATATAAAATATATGTTAACAAATTTTAGTTTTTATTAATTTTTGTGTTTTTTTTTTTCTTTAATAACTTTAATTTTTATGTTATTGTGCCAAAAACTTCTTAGATAACCCGTGTACGTTATATTTATCAAGTAAGTGTGTTATTTTAAATTTTATTTTTTCATTGTGATTGTAAAATTACTTGAATACGGAATACGTCGTATAGTAATTATGTTAATGTTGTAAATTCTTTAATGTTGGATTTTAAATTTATTTTCTTAATTTCTAAGACCAAAAATTGTAAAGGCACTATATAGAAATACATGTTTTATAAAATTATACTAGAGTGTAAGTTTGAACACTTTATATATCATAAATAATCAATTAAGTATATTATTAAAATGTTAGTAAAATATATTTTTTTTAATGTAGGTATTTATTAATAGTAGATAAAATGTTTTAATTATAGGATATTTTAATGTATTTACCTTATTAAAGTCTAGGATTATGACGCTCAATTTTTCACATTATATTTAACATTTTACTTTTGAATTAATTTGTGTATAGGTATCTTGAAATCAATTTCAACTTAAATTATTGTCAAATATAAAATAAAGTTGATTTATCTTGTGATTTTTTTTTTTTTCTTTGAATATGATTGTGACAAAGATAAATCTGGTTTTGTAAAATATTGCTATACAGGGGTGCCTCATATAAGCTCTTACCATACCCTTCAGTTTAAGAGATTAATTGTGTTACTATTTCTAAAAGTTTGGCTAATAATAGTCACTAATCTATCTCTGTCATTCAAATTAAATTGAAAAATATTCAACTTTTACATTAATTACATGTTTATATTTTTAATTTTAGTTGACTTAATAATATTATTTGTTAACATATACTGACTTATTAAACAGGCATTACATATACATTTTAGTATTTATCTATCTTAGTTATTTTCCTGAATAATTTATTTGATGATATTTCATATATAGTCTATAGATAATAAAGTTTAATTTTAAATGTCTATAAAAAAATAAAGTATTAATGAAAGTCTAATGTCATACTGTTGTATGTCATAGTATTATACATTGTTACATTTAATATTATTTTTAGTTAACATTAATAAATATAAAGTATTATTATGTAAAAAGTAACACCATTTAAAATCTAAACATTTAATTTTTTTTGTATATTTTTAATTTCTATATGTTTGACACAAGTAAATTCACTGGAAATTATGCTATCTACAGTTTGGATTCTAAACTATAACTCATGACCTTAAATGTTTTATTTTTTACATAGCATAATGAATAAATAAAATAATCTTTTAATTTGTTTATATATATTATGGTAAATTGTAAACAATTTGAAAATTACTGTGAATATTCAGTTGATGTACACTCCAATGTACAATTTATTTTTATCATCTATAAAAACTAATATTTATCTCAAATGTAGGAAAAGTTGTTGAAATTAATTCAATATTTATTTATAGTTTTTTATGTATTAAATATTACTATCCCATATTTAAGTATGTATTAAAACTAGGAGAATATACGGAGAGGTTTCAACCCAACTTTCCTTTAAATATTAATGTGCATGTAATTTTATTTTTATAGTTTAATTTTAATAGATATATTGTAGTTGTATACAAACATACCTACTAACAAGTTATTAGTTTTTGTGATTAATAATTGTAATATTTACTATTAATAAAATGGTTAGCTATTAAGTTGTGGTCACAGCATTCTTTTAAGTTAGATTAAACTAATTATTTAAAGTTTCTACTGAAAATTATCATACTGTCTTCCCCTAATATAAACTAGGAGCTTTTTTTTTTTTTTGAAGTTTCTAACTTGTAATACCTTTAAACCCTGGTATTAAAAGAATGTATGATATATTTTAGGATTCTCATGATCTCTTATAAAATATGTTTATTACTAATAAATAATTATTATATAAGTATACAATTTAACTATCAACTATACATGTTTTATAATAAGTAAAATAATTTTTATTGTATGATAATGTATTATATGATAAGTGGTTAATGTTTATAATTATACAGGTAATCACCTTTAAAGTAGTGTTTTATTTATAAAACTAATATGAAAACATAAGAGAGTATATAAATATTCATAATTTACTTTATTATTTAACACTATCAATAACTATGCTATAATTTTATTTTATCTAAAATTTTAAATTTCATTATTTAATATTAATTTTATTGATTAATGTATGTTAAATTCATTGTTTTTTTTCTTAAATTTTTAATAGTTAAAGCTTTTTATTTTTTTAACTGTATAATTAATTATTTAATTTGAAATAATAAATTCCTATGTTTCTAAAGATTACAAAATGCTTTTGAGCTAATTTTATTATAATATTATTATATTAATTTATATTTCAATCATTGATTCTCATATAATATGAGTCAATGATTGAAATATAAAATGTAAATATTTTATTAAAGATCTAAAAAAAGTGTAATCATTTTGACCATAGCACGACTAACACCGAGTTAAGTACATGTTTTTATATAAAATAGTTGTTAAGTGAACTGTTGTTGGTAGTATATTATTTTGATAGGTTAAGAATTAAGTAAATCAATAGGTATTTTAAAAAATATAATAACAAGATTGTTTTTTACCAATAGTCTTGGGATATATTAATCTTGATCATTGATAATATATCTTCATCATATTATATCATTATTGATATATTTCACCCTTGGTTTTAAAATTGTTTGTTTATTGAATCGAATTATTCAAATAATTCAGATTAATAAGATAATTTTTTTGTTATACAAATATTATGTTAGTATCTAAATTTAATATTAGGCAATAAGCATCATTTGAGGCCATGAGTATAAAATAATTATTATTGTTAAGCAAAAAGAAATATTTAACACAAGTCAAAAATATTGGTATATTTTTGTCATTTACTGTTTTTGTGTGTTATTTTCATTTTCAGTTTTCACAAAACTCAATTTTCTTGGAAATACTGGAGAATTACGCCGTGATTTATTGTCATCTGCTGCCAAATGCTCTGGTGATTTGCTTTTTGATTTGAAGTGCATTTTAGTTGCTAAATGTCTAAATCTTTAGAAAAAAATTAATAAAATTGAAATACTATGTATTCTATTATGTGACTAACCTGACTGGCACATCATTTCCTTCTTTATCATCAAACACTCCTTGAAATAAGAATGCTAGTGGCCAACTTATCCATGAGCTCCTTAAAGAATCATAAACTCTTTTTAGTATAGTTTTAATTTATAATCATATAAATATATAGTTTTATTCAAATTTTAAGGCTACAACAATTAATATATAAATAAAATATTTTTGAAAAAAATTTAATCATTCACAAATGTTATGGTTCTTATTTTTTATATTATATTTACTGTAAAACCTTTATTTGTTAGCAGTGGCATATATAGGTTTTTATTTTGGAGAGGTCTGATCATGTATTTGATTTTTGGGGGAAAGGGAAGGAGGAAGCACACTATTACAACAAAAATTACTTGAATACTATAAAACTTCTCGACTGTCTTTACACCATCAGAGAAATAAGAAACTCAATTTTTTTTAATGATTTATAATTTTAAAAAAAATATAAAAACCCCATTGTAATAAACAATTTTTATATTAGAGTCACTCAAAATTCACCACATATCTTTTTAAAAGAATAAATATATTTTATGAATATAAAATTTTAAATTATCCCATGAGCAACATTCTCTGTGTCACGACAAATTTTTAGAACAACCCCCAGCCTTAAGACATATCAATGTCAAAAATAACAATTTTTATCAATGGTGTTTTTAATTCCGGTGGGGAGGGGGGTCCCTCCCATAAATACTCTAATGTTTGTAAGTATTAATGTGATTTATTAAATATTTTAAATTAGTTGAATTAGATATAAAATTATACTATATTATAATTATTGTTAAATATTGGTAATGATTTAAAAGCATTAAACAAATCAGGGTAAAATTCTGGTTTGTTTCCACCTTAAGTATGGCCATTGATTTTAGAAAAATAAAATTATAAATATAATGATATAATGTTTAAATCTTTTAGAGATTTTTCTTAATATATAAATAACTATATATATTATATCTATACTATTGTTGCAAAAGCTGATAAGTGCCAAAACTAAATTTTACAGGACAGACATAAAATTTATTCGGATTTCCTTTTAAACATTTTTTAACATAAATAATTTTTTAATGATATTTTATCAAATAAAGGTTATTTATAAATAGTCTTGATACACTGAAATACTTTCTTTTATAATAATTTTATGCTAATTAAAGAGTTATGTTAAGACTTATAATAAGTGTGTTACTTATAATAATAGTGACTGAAAAGAACAATAAAATGTACATAACATGTTTTGACTAATAAATTTTATAAACAGCTGGTATTTTTTTTTTCGAATAACTTTATTCCTTTGATTATTAACAGAAAAAAAATAAATAAAAACTATCAACTTTTTTGTTATAACATCATATTACAAGTATCTATAAATTGTATAGATAGACAATAATTATTTGTGTTTGATGATGATATGTAGTATATCATGTATTGTCAAAATTTTATTTTCTGCATTTAAACGGTTATCACTTTTGTTTTTTGCTTACAACAGATATAATAATAGGGCTACAGATATCATACTTTGACACAATAAAATTTCAACCTTATTCTACATATATCATCTATAATTCCAAAATTGACTTTTTGGCACTTATCAGCTTTTGCCACAATGGCACTATATATTATATAGTACATCATATATTATATATTATATGTATTATAGTATATAGTATATTATTTATTTTTAACAATAAATAAAATGTTAAATAATTATTTTTAATAATTTACGCGGGTTGTGCCATTGTATCCTCTGTATCACTTGTGGCTGTTGACAACAAATCATGAATATCATCATCCATAGAACTTAAATGTGTATGTCTGCGCGATCCAGGTGAAGATCTGGCAATTTTTGGATTATATATTTTTGGATCACTGACCATTCGTACAAAGAAGGATCTCCTATATGCTAAATCATCTTTCTTTTTACGTTCAGATAACTCAAAGACTTCATCAACTTGCTCCTATTTCAATAAATAAATATTTAAAAACAAATAATTTATATTTATATATAAGTTTACAGTGCATCTTCTAAAAATGTAAATTCTGTTTTTTAGTTTTTATATATGAAACTCAACAATTGTTAATTGTTTATATTTAGTACATGCATCTTTTTCTATAGGTTACATATATATTTAATATTATTTTTCTGTGATATATTTAATACATACATTTTGAAGAATAAATTAACTTGATGAATTGTTAGATTCTTAATTTTTTTTTTTTTTTTTGTCTCTTGAGTATATACTTTGAGAACAAAAGAAATGTAATAACAATTGTAAATATGTTCATTTGTAAAAGATATTTTAATAAATAATAAACTAGATCATATTAGCATTATTACATTAATATAGTATCTAATTATTATTAAAAAAAAAAAAATAAATAAAAGCATTTTTGCAAGGACATAAAATTAATTTTAATTAACTTATAAAAACAATTTACATAATATATTATATTTACTGACCTCTCGTTTTTCTGTAAGTTCTTGTTCTTTGTATAACATTGTTACTGCTGTTCCTTTTATAATTTTCCAAGCATAATCTAAATTTAGCAAGATCTTAAATTATTTTGGTTACTTATTTAATGTCTAAAAAAAATTATGTTTTATAAAATATTATTGGTTATTATTTGAGCATATCTAAATTGTATGTATTAAAATTATAAGTAGGGCTAAAAATAAGTAATATACCTATTTATATTTAATTATTTAAGAAAAAAATTATGACATTTCAATTAAAATTTCTCAGATGGAAATTGTTTTTATTATGTTATTTGTGGATATAATATGTCTGAATTTCAGTACCTAACATGAATATTATTTATAGTAATGGTATGATTATTAACAAATTATAAATATTCTACTAGTTACAAATTAACTAAGTAATATCATAGAATTTTATATCTTTGATTGTACTTAAATTTTTCATGCCACAAATGTTATGGTAAAAACTGGGAGAGTGTAATAATAACTTTTATTTGTAGTTATTTTGACATGATTTCACATTTAAAGATATAATATTAATCAAACGCCTAAAAAATCAAATAATATAATAAAAAAAGACTACATCAATACTTTTATTTTTATTTGTTTTTAATAAACAATTTATAACTTGATAAGCAATAACAACTATCAGTCAAATTTAAGTATTATAAATATTAGTAAGTACTCAAATTTTAATTTTTATCATTATAAATAAAAATATATCAAAAGGGCTTTTATATTTCCCTTGTTTCACACTTGATATCTGCCACTACCATCGAGATTATCTATATTTCATACCCTACACAATCCGTAATATTTTGTTCTTAATTCTTTTGGTTTCTTAATTAAATATATTTTTCTAAACAGTGAGCTGTATTAGTTTAATTATTGGTAGCTAATAACTGTTTTTTAGTATTTTATTTATTTATTATTTTTATATAATAAAATATTTGTCATATTTATGAGTTATATGTATTATATACGCTAACTACTGAGGAGAATTATTTATAATTGAAAAATTATATTACATTTGCTTTTACTTTTTATTGTAAATTATTCATCATTTTAGTAGTAAAATATAACGTTGGTAATGGCATTCATTGACTTGCCAAAGTTGTATTCAGAAGACTAGTAATCAAATGGATACTTAAGTAATAATTGATAGTTAATTATAATTTAAATAATAATAAATTAGATTATGAAGGTTAATATCAATGTTAAGTTTTCATTTATTCTTGGTTTTTAAAATGTTTTTATTTAAATTTTAAGAACAAAAAATACATCTGATGACATTTGGATACATAGCTTTGGTTTTATTTATAAATATTTGTATTTAACATTCATTGTATTTATATGCTATATTATGATTTATTTATAGATTAATAAGTATTACATGTTATAAGTCGAAAATGTTAATATATCTGATAACATAGTCCGATAAGAACACATTTTTTGTTAAACATTATTTTACTTGATTTCTATGTTTGATATTTATAGAAAAAAAAATTGGATCTTTTATTATGAATGCATATTTAATGATTGCGTCCTGCGTAAAATATATTTTCCCACTTAATTTACGGGTGTATCATATCTTAATTTATAGTTATGTCTGTTAAACAGTATTTTTGTAGTATTAATTAATTGGATAATGTCATCATTATTACGTGGACTGATGAACTATGATTACTCTTTAGTTGGGCTGGGATTATAGGAATCTTTTTTCTGGTGTCCAAACAGATAGGTCCATAAGTAGAAAATGTGTTTCAAGTGATACTGATTAATTTAATGTAGTTTTTATTTTGCATTTTACGATAAATTTAACTTTATATGTACTTTTATGGCATATTTTTTCTATATTTAGGGTATCTTTCAGAATTTATCTATAAATTCTTAAATGTTAGGGTATCTGATCACGTGTTTTGGCGTTTGTTCGCTCAACATTTAACGTTTAGTATCTAATCTACTAAATTGATTAACTATAAATGATTTATTAGGTATACAGCCTCAAAATATATTCTTTTAATGAGAATTTTCTAACTACTTTTAATATATAAAAACATATTTATTAATTTTCCTACATTTTGAACGGGGGGGGGGGGGGGTGTTTGAATCCCTAAATTATTTCCTTGTGTACGCGTCTATGTATTAATATCTAAGCTGTACGTATCAGTTATTATTATTTTAATATTATTTAGTGATACATATTTTTATTATATTACCAATATCGTCTTCTGTTGCATGCTCAGCTACGACACAAAATCTAATGACATACTTGTCGTGTACTAAAGCTGGGACCATATGAAGCTTTCCTGATTCGTTAATGGTTTCTAAGAGCTTTTTATTCAGTTTATTTGTCGGATCGTCTTTCAAACGAAAACAAACTAAACCCATCTATTTTTGTTGTCAATAAAAAAACTTCAGTTAACAAATCAATGATATATAGTTTATATTTAATATAATAGAATACAATAATAGTTTTACCTTAACTTCGTTTAAAATTTCATACTTATTATCGCTTCTGACTAATCTTTCGAATCTTTTTGCTAATTGACAATGATGTCTAATATACTTCTGAAGACCAGTTATCCCATATGTTCGCAACACAAACCAAAGTTTTAATGACCTAATTTAATATTATTGTTCGTATATTTATATCGACGACATTTTTTTTCTAAGAATCTAATTAATTTATAAATCGTATTTAATCAAATTTAACCTACCTGAAACGTCTACTTAATGGTATACCCCAATGTCTATAATCCACTGCACCAGCATAGCCATGTTGTAAATAGAGAGGATCAACCACCAGAGCACAAGTTAATTTATACCGATCTTTTACCCAAAGACATGAACAGTCGAAATTTGTTAACAACCACTTGTTTGTGTTGAGGTTAAAAGAATCTGCATATTGCACACCATTCATTAGAGAACGAAATTCGGGACATATAAATGCACTCCCTGCGTAAGCTGCGTCAACATGTAACCAAACTGTTTCGAATTGCTGACATACTTGACCGATTTCGGCTATATTGTCAAATGAACAACAAGACGTTGTGCCTAATGTAGTGGAAACAAAAAATGGTATCAAGCCCATCGCCTCGTCCTGTTCCATAACCTAAAGAATGTGTTTGCTAAAACATGTTTAAACAAAACGTATGTTGTTAACTAACTTGTCTTAGTGTAGCACCTCTTAAACTATTATTTTCATCAGGTTCGAGAATGCGTAATTTAACGAACGCCATCATTGCACCTTTTTCTACGCACGAATGTGCTTCTTTAGAGCAGTAAGCCATTAGTTTTGATAATAGAACACCTTCTTCGATGAATGGATGAAGTTTTCGTAATCTTTTGATTGCTTGAGCTCGAGCTGCGAGCATACATACAAAAATGCACTCACTTGCTGAGCTCTAAATAAATATATAATTAGCTAATATATTTATAATCGATATATTTTATATATTCTTTACCTGCAGTACCCCACCACCTTTGCCGTTATGTATTTCGTTTTCACTATCATTATTTCTTACAGAATCATTAGCGTTACAAAGTTCTTCTGGAAATGTTAAAAATTCTTCTGGCAATCCAATTGCTTTACCAAGCCAATCCAATACTATAGTTTCCAATTCAGTACACGATGGACTTGCGGCCTTCGAAGTGTATAATTATATATAAATATAATATAATAATTATTTATGTGTATTTTAAAATATATAATCTTGGTTGCTCACCCATGAAAAGCCTATACATGCTATAGAATCAGATAGCATATCTGCTAAAATCGACGGAAATGAGTTACCTGAGGGAAAGTAGGCATGAAATCTTGGATGTTGCCAATGAGTCACCTAAAAATATAAATTAACTAAAAAAATCGTATTTTTTTGTTTCAGATTTTGTACCAAAATTGTGTTTGAACCTTTTAACAAATCGCTTTAATATTGAAAAGTAAGTTTTTATATTTTCCCTATATCTATTGTAGTTGGAATATGAAATTTATAAGCAAAATGTTTACAAATTAATTGCTTTAATTAAAATTTAAACATACCACATTTTTACTACATTTTAAAACTAAATTACCAATACTTGTATATTACAAATATATATGTATAAATATAATATTCATAACTATATTTTAATCTGTACTATTCTTATATATAAATATATACATAAATTTGTCTTACTCCTGGCATAATAATATTTTCTACATCTTCCATTATGGCATCAAATGGCTCCGGCTGTACGGGTGCTTCTAGTGGAATTTTATTCTTCAACCAACCTGGACTTACCGTTGGGGTCACTCTTCTTTGTTTTATTGTCTCTAAATACTCGCATATATAATCCACCATCTCCTTGCCATGCTTTCGAAATTGTTCAGTATTCATTTTAAGTTTTCCTTTAAGTTAAAATATAAATATTAATTAACTCTCAACAATTTAATTATTTGTTTATTATGATTCAAAAACACTTGATTTCTCTAAAGATGTGAATTTCATAATTGATTTCTCTCAGAGAATGATAATAATCTTCGTTGTCAAATACATGAGAGTAATATTAGATTGACGGCAACCACTGCAAGTCAACAACAGAATTTCCACCTTTCATTTTTTTCCATTTCTTATTAAAGAGAGGATTTTTCTCCAAAAATGGAAGGATATTTTAATTAACTTTGTGAATATATTTGACAAGTTGGAGTGTTGTCAATGCTTGACAAAAGTTAAAAAGAATAAATTAAATTAACATCAGGGAGTAATCTATGTTGAAATTATCGAAGTTGAATTCGGTGATTATTCCCTTTAAATTAATTTCTATACGTTTTACTTTTTTAAAAACAGAATATAACAATCGAGCACTCAGGGAAGCTTTAGGACTTAAGTTTTCCAAAATCTCTATTAATAAAATAATTATTCGTGTTCCATTATACATATACTAGATAGACTAAATAGTAATTGCACGTAATTTTCTCTAAATAAGCTTAAAAATTATAGATAGATAGTTAGATAAAAACATTATATACAAATATAAATATACAATAAATAAAATATACAATAGATATTTGAAAAATTGTTTAGTGTTAATCTGCTGTAAACCATTGGATCCTCCAATCCATAAATACTATGAATTGGAGATATTATGGATAGATAGTAATCAATTAACATAAATTGATTATGTTACTAAAGTTATAGGCAAATTATACTAGTTTAAATTCTATTTTAGTAAATATTTAGTTAAGGGAATATTGCATTTTTTTTTAAATTTATGAAATTTTCTTACCAATTTACAGCATCAATATTCGAATAATTATAAAATAATTTTATTTAATTTTTTTTTTCTAGTCTTATCTTTTTCTATCTTTCTATTGACTAATAAATTTACCAGATCATTTACCTAATAATGTTTCAAATAATTATACAAATATATTTGTTTTAAAATAACTGGCGTCCTCTAAAAATGAAATAATCCAAGTAAATTTAATTTAAAATATATGTAGGTATAGTTATTATTGATATTTCTCTGTAGTGATCATTTATTAAAAATTAAATTAAATTTGTAAACAAATTAACTATTTTGAAAATCTGTTGAATGTATCAATAATAAATAAATTATTTTATATTTTTGTATTTGATGCACATAGAATATACATAATATTCATAAAAATGTGATGTTTCATTGGTTTAATTTTTTAAATACAGTATAACTTAAATAATTACCAATAAAATTAAGATCCTACTTTGAGCTCTGTTATGTTTTACGAACTTTTATTTATTGTTTGATCAATTATGTATAAAATATTTTGATTATTGATATATAGTAATCGTGATCACTAACCACTCTATATATGTGATGTGTACGAATAATTGTATTGTCTATACGCCAAACACGAGTAAATTTAGATAATATAGTGAGGTAATAGTCATTGATAATAAGTAAACATTTGTATTTTACCATCAATAATGTGTATGTTTATGCATAATAATTGATAACTAATATATTTTAAAATACTTATAAATTTTTGGTTTTTATATTTTATAACGATTCTAGTATTAAGTTAAAAATTAATATTGCTAAATTATAATATACAACAAGGTATCAAAAATATATTATAATATGGTATATTATAACTTAAAAGTAAGACTGTGATTATGTATTTGTGCTATTATCACAAAATTAAGTTAAACTGACCGCGTTCTGATAATTTATCAAAATCTACACTATATATTTGATACCTATGAGTATATTGAAGCTGAATTCAAAATAATTTAAATATTAATATAGTTTCAATCTCCATCACTTTAATCTATCTTATAACTTTATTTACTTTAAAAACACGTATTTTTTTTTTTCAAATCCTAATCAAATATAATATAATGTTATAATATTATGTTTTAACTAAAGTGTTATTGGAATTCAGCGATATGATGTGTAATAATGGCATGGCTGTGTGGTTATAAACTATATATTTTTTAGCATAAACCTGACGAGGCTGTAAATTATGTATATCTTTTTGATTTTCTAAAATTGTATTTGCAAAACTTTAAATAAAATCTTTGAAGTTCAAAAGATATTAAGTTGATGGAGCAATTAATATATGATACTTCAGAAATTCAATTGAGATATTTATAGTATTCACTATGCTTTTAATATTGTCCTGAAAAACTAAAATTTTGTTGTCGTTTTGATATCCAATAAAACATACTAACGACATTGTTAATTATACTAATTTTTTAATTGTAAAATAAGAATAATTTTACCATTAGAATACCATAGTCTTTACCGCATTCATGTAGTAATTTACTTAACGATACAGACTCTAGCTGTACAATATTTAAAGAATTTTCACTTTATATAGATCATCACTAAATAATTTTAAATTAGAAAAATAAATTGTCTTTTTAAATCGATAAAATTATAAATTGTTTAATATTTAGAACTCAAATTACTACGGAATAATTTTACATGTACCTTTTCAATTTCATATAACTTTTTATCATATTTATAAGTAATTGACGATTGTACATTTTTAATACATAACGATTCATGCTAAAAATAGCATTGTTATGGTTATTACAGTTATTAAAAAATTTAAAAACTATGTTTTTAAATTCAAGCGTATTCAGCCTAAAATAAAATACATTAGTATAATTAAGTCAATTTCTCATAAAAAAAACATATGACTTATAACTTATGTAGCAAATCCAAATACCACGTGATTAAAACTAAAGCATATATAATATAATATATGTAGAAAATATTTTTTATGAAGAATTAGATATAATTTAATGATAATCAAATAATATGCAATAAATTTAATTCTAGACATTTTGACGAAAAATAAAGAACTTTTCTATAACTAATAAATACCTATTAATTAGACCAAAATTTAAATTTATTTTATAAGAAGTTCTAGTCGCATTGTACATTCATATTTTATGTTTATTTCCCATAACTTTTTAAATGGTCAATGCATATAGTTAGTAAGACTATGTAAAATAATAAATAATAATAAAAAAATAATTACTTATTTTTAAAATCCCTAATCAAACATCTGATATCATATTATTTTAAAAACTTCTTTTTTTTTTATCTAAGAAGTATTAAATCAATATAATAATTAGAATGATTTAATTATCCCGATAAATGTTTTTGTATTAATTAATTTATCAGTATATTTGTGATAAGTGTGCACTTACTTATATTTCTGAGTATTGAATGCGACGCGTCCAAACTGCTAGGGGTATGGAACAGTTATGGGAAAGCTTTCGCACGTCTGCCTGTAGTGTGAAGCCAGCGGCAACCGTTTAAATGCAATATGGATTGTATACATAGTACACGTTATTATTGTGTATTATTCAAATTGTATGTTCTTTTGTCATTTTAATACATTAACTTATAGTTTTTTGATTATTTTTCGATTATTTCAATTAGAAAAAACTTGATTATTTATTTATATTATTTAAAATAGTTATTCATATACAATCACAAATAAGTCTAAATTTAATTTCTTATTTATTTTTTACTCAAACATATCCGAGAATGTCTTGAATGTTTCTCAGAAGTTGTCATCCGAGATGAAAAATAGTGTAGAAACACAATAAATAATGTTTTTATTACTATGTTTCAATAAAATTTTTTTAAAAATTAAGTAAATATCATTGGCATATTATATAACAGTATTACCGATATTTTTAATTAAAATATTTAAGTTTGTAGTTATTGAATATTAATACTATAAATATATTTGAAGTTTGATACATTTTTTAATTGAAAATACGATAATGTGTTATTAATAAATAATAACACTGTCAAAGTAAATAATTTTATTGTATATTCCGAGGAAAACGAAAAACTTACTGGTTTAATAGTATTTTTCTTTTTGTACAGCTTTTCATTTTTTCGTTAATTGGACAAAAATGTATTTTTGAGGAGATATTTTTCGATTTTATCAGTAATTCTTCCAAGCGTAAAATACGTTTTCAAGCTAGTGCGTTTTTTACTTATTTTTATTTTATTTTTTTTGCTAATAAGTAATTTTGTATCAACAAGACTAAATACTGTAGTGAGAATGTGACCAACAATTTTAGAAGTCTATACCAAAATAATTTTATGAACACTTCATTTATATTAAATATATAGCATATTAAATTTCAGTTTGATATTTATAACAATATTAGAATTTTATCATCGAAAAACAATTTAATTGATTTTTATATGTATTTAGTTCAAAGCTAGTGTTCTTATTATATATAGACATATTTGATAAACGAAAAAAATATATTAATCTGATAATAATTAAACACTTAAATGTATGGTTAAACAAGATCTTAAGGTAGTATTCATTTTCAATATATATTCAAATAATACGACTATAACACATTTTGATATTTAAAATGGTCCAAACATTTTTCGGAACATTCAACTAAAAGTTGTACTCCTATAAGTCTTTAAAAATATTAAAATTTCAATGTAATAAAATCTCAATGGACTTAATTTAAATATGACTTTGTAAAATTCCTATAAAAATGCATCTTTAACTGAGTGTTAAATATTTAATATACAGTGTAAAATATAATGAAAACTGCATAATACAAATTTAAATAATCATCTTTAGGTTTAGGTTTTATGTTTATAAATATATATTTTAATTTAGTGAAACATATCTAAGATTAAAATTTAATTGTAGATATTACACTGAATAAACCGATAAAACTTGTCTAAAATGGAATACTTCTTAGTTTAAAAAGATATCACATACTGTTCAGCCTTGGAAAATTTCCATTATGTATACCTAAATATATAACCTAACTAAATAAATATGTGTGTACTTTTTGTTGATTGGTTTTTGAAAACCAATTAAAGTAAATAGAATTATATTAATTTATAACATAAGTAAAGCGTTTCATATGACGTTAATACGTTAGTTTTAAATATTCTAATAACTAATAATTCTAAATTTTAAGTTAGTTTTCTTTAATGTTTTCTAATTAATTAAAATGAAATACAACGCAATGTTTTTGAATTTAAAATTCGAATATTGAACCAGAAGTTGATGTTTTTTATAAATATTTTTAGTTTTAAGAGGTAAGTAGTTCTCTAACATGTTATGGATGCATCGTAGTCCTTGCACTACACGTATTAACTATAAATATTTAACACAGCCATCGTAAGACCAAGTAAATTACAAAAATTCAAAAAAATAAAAATAAAAATTCGTCTGATGGAGTTGTAACCATAAGTTAAAATTTTGGAAAAACCTTTGATTGCCCAAAATAATTAAACTCGAAATTGTATTAACACCGTTTTTGTTTTGGGTAAAAAATATTATTGCATAAATTATAGATCTTTTTATTAGTTTAACCATTTGTATTGTATTGATTTTAAATAAACTAATCTAAGTAATATTATTAAATAAAAAATCTAATTGAACTTCAAAAGAAATGGAGCAGCAAAAATAAAATTGTATGTATTCAATTAATTTAAAAGCATAATTGCATGAGTATAATATTAAAATGTGATCTGACTAACTACGGGATGGGTCATTGGAGTGCCTACAGTAACCATCCCTTGTTTCCGTAATGACCCTGAAGCGTATATATTCAGTATTATAATATATTAAACCGTCAACGAGATATGTACAATGGACACCGTGTCATCGAAGTTTGCTGTCAAAAGGGTTTGCAGAAAATTTCTGTCCCAAGTTTTCACAGCGAATTAACTCCGACAAACTTCACTTTTATGTTAACTATTAGCCGTTTCCATTCGTCTTGATCACATTGTACGTGTAATGTATAATATGTATACATATATGTGTAATTTGAGAATATTCTAAGGAAATTAATGTGCTATCTCGCTTTATGTGATGGATGCATCCACATATTTACCATGAACGGGAATATAATGCGGTTGAAAGGAATGTTGTTACTAGTAAATGCATTATTTTTTTTTTTAATAAGCATAAAGATTCTTTAATATATATTTGTAAATAAATACTATGTTCGAAATTACTTAACAGTTATTCGTCAACACTTGATAAATTTAATGTATTTGATGCTGTTTTCAATTTCTGTAAATTTATAACAATTGTACTTGATAGATTTTGTTCTTCATATAATCAAATAGACTTTTCACGAAACGAAATATGATACAACGTCGATTAATCGTGACTTATTATAATAATAATTAATAATCAATTTTCACAATTTTCTGTTCAGAATCATTTTACATTTATGTTAATTATCAATACGTTTGAATACATATCTTGCACGCTTTATAGTTCGTCAAGACGTCTATAAACTATTTATTTGATTTGAAAACATTGTTTTTTCACTTTTAATTATTGAAAATAATTGTTTGAAAATTACATTTATATTCTGACAGTTAAAAAAAAATCAACGAGGAGCTTTATATTTGTGGAATGGCCTAAAGTCGACAACTTTATTTTATTGTAGAATAAATTTTGTTTAAAAGTTAGGTATATAGTTAACTATTAATTATCTGATATTTGTTCAAATTTAGTCAACATGTACCTATTATATTCTATTTTGTTACATTAATTACTAACGGAAGCATTTTTTGCATCCCAATCATCAACATTTTTAATTTATTATGTTAAACCAATACTTTTGTTTCACACATCATTTTGATGTACGGTATTATAACGTTGAAAATATCCACGATAAATGTATTCAGCGTATATTTAGGTCAAGGTTTGTGGGACCAAATCGTGAAGGAATTCCTCGATGGACGTTTAGTAATATCTAAGTACGTTCGTAGATAATCGTCGTCACAAATAGTGAGCCCAAAAGAATATAATATTATAACGTCGTATATAAATCGTCGCTAAACATTTTTCTCACACCAAATTACAGTATGCAGTCGAGTTAAGAACTCAAATTACATGTATTATACCCACCGCATATACTTATATTATGTACAGCGTAATTCGGATAGTTTATAAATAAGTATATAAAATAATTAATTAAAACGATCTGGTGCGGCTATCTGCAAGGAGTATTTGCGTCGAAAATTATAATCGGTATAATATTTTATCAGTAGATTTGTCTGCAGTGGCGTGGGTGGGATGTGTATGGAATGTTGACTATGCAACGATTGCTCCGGAATGCTCTTCATTTTATCTCATAAAAGTCGTGTGGCGGCCGTAATAACCTGACCGAGTAACTATGGCTCTTAAACTATTGATTTCCGTTCACACATACTTAAGAGATTTTTGCCGTCTACGCGTTTGTACTACTATTTTTATTATTATTATTATATACGTTTGCAGGACCGCATGTGTGTAAAAATTCTGCTTAAAATCCGTCGATGTTTTCATTATACGCATGCTTGATTTACTATTGGACTGGATAATAGATATATTTTTTCCTGTTAATTTCGTTCCGTGTTATGTATGTATTGTACTACGGTATGTGTAAGTTGATGCTCACAGTTGGAGAATTTATACGAATATGTATTTCCACGTAAATTATTTGTTCAAATGACAAATATCGTACATATTGGAATATCTTGAAATAAAATTATCGTTTCTATTCCTGGCATCGGATAAAATATAAATCATAATAAATTACTTATAAGGTATATATTATAGAACAGTAATACTTTGAACACATTTCCAATCGTGTTTCTCAAACTATTTTTATTAGAGCTCGTATCTCATAGCTTGTAATCAACATTTTTATGATTCATGAAATTTTATTGAATTACATTTTTATATTTTTCATTTTCTGAAAATTTTAATGTTATGCCTTACGATGCATAATACACATATTTTTAATTGTCATTTTTTTAATTGTTGATGTGATGATTGGTTGTGTGAAATCAATGACATGAGTGATGGCCCGCGAAACTTAAAGATTCAAATTTAGATACTTGTAGGGAAAAAAGTTAATTTTTTACTTTTTTACGATTATTTAAAATTTGCACATCGTTATAATTTTGTTATAATTGATGATGGTGATATCGTTTCATTTATTATTATTAGTATAAAAATATGTATATCATGTTTGATGGAAGAATTTAATTATGTACTTACAGGGACAAATGAAAGCATTTTCTTCCTTTACTTTTTTCCTGTCTAGAATTCTGAACTGATCTACAGCTTATTAGTGTATATAATTCCTTTAGTTTAAATATTTTTAAGATTAGTTACGTTTATCTAATTTAAACTAACTGGCTTTAATTTCACATAAAATGTTTAACACAAAGTATGGTTCCGTGCATAAGTATAGAGGAATTAATTATAAAGGGATAGATACCCATAAATAGATTATTTATTTAATGATCGTTGTTATATGTTTATGTGCATACGTATCACATGCAGTAAAGGAACGAACGACGAATCACGAGCGACAGTTCGTCGATAACTGTGCAGTGAGTGACGTCAGATCAGTTAGTTTTCAACTTTTATAACTGGAAGACATTTCGATTGGGCAACGTCTAATTCTAGGGTGCCTTATATTATTTCAATGTGCGCTGGTTGCAATTCCGGGTTATAACATCCGCCCAATTTCATTGGAACAAGAATATTTTCGACAGATAAATACGTGATAGGCTACTAAGTATGCAGAACAAATATGATGCATATGTACATTTTTTAGTGATAAGAGAATAATATAATTATGTTGGTACTTAATAGCAAAAATAGCTCACATAAACCTACTGGAAAAAAATACTTTTAATCTCATTCCATAAAAATCACGAATAAAACCAAATAAGTATAGGTAGGTAGATGATAGCCGACTTATCTAACTTAACTGTAGTCTGAAATGTAAGTTCAACTCCTTCTTATCCTTTATATATACATTCACCATCATATTGAATGTTTGTGCTTATCGGCTGTCAAAATATGACAGAATATATTGTATAATAATACTAATAATATTAATAATAATAATAATACATTTGTGTATTACCACATAAATGTTATGACCCAAAGATGTTTTTGAATGACAACAGTACACTTGATATATTATACAATAAAACCTTTGATATGGTTCAATCTAATAGATTATCTTTAGAGAACTATTTCTTAAAGAAATGTTTGTTTGTTTATGTGTTTTGTGCAACTTATGGACAACAATTGTATACATTATTTTGAAATGTATTTATATTTACAACGGTGTTGTAAATTATAATATTGTGTGAACAATTGTAAATGAATAAAGTATAAAATAAATAAATTATTTAAATAATTTATCAGTTTCTGCTATTATTTACTTTTTTTTAGTGGAAACTCCAAAACCAAAATGTGTATATCAGGAAGAACGTTGGACCCGCGCCTTGATTACAATTGACAATTTGCCAGATAATTTTGAACACTTACAAGTCAGTAATCATTCCAAAATCCGAAATATGCTTGGTTTTGCAGTAAAAAGTTTTGAACGCTCTGATCACCTTGTGTGTAGTGCCAGCGGCCCATCAGTTAATAAAGCTGTAACTTGTGCAGAGATATTGAAACGAGAAATGCCTGAGCTTAGACAAGTCACTGGTATTGGATACAGAAAGTAAGCAATAATTGAACAAGTTATACATATTTAGTAAACAATTACTAACAATACAAGATCAATTTATCATGTTTATTGTTTTAAGTATGATTTTCAATGTTTATTAAACATCATGTTGTCTAATGTTGTTAATAATAATTACATTTTCTCTTTGAATTATAACAAAATTAGGATTTATGGCACCTTTAATAAATAAATACAATAATACAAAACATTAAAATAAGATCACTTTAATTTATAATGAATTTAATAATGACATTCTACAGAAAAAATAAACATATAGTTGGATGAAAGTCAAACTAAAACTCATCTTGAGATGCATTTTAAAAATATTAATTTTATGATTATAGTGTCAGGATGATCAAGAATGAGATGATTGATGGTAAAGTTTCTGAAACAATTACAACCCGAAGATTACCTTCAATTCATATACTTTTATCAAAAAATCATCTCCATCCCAATTTACCTGGGTAAGCTTATTATAATTTAATTTATTAAATAAATGGTTAATTATTTTATTGACTTAAAAGTAAAATAAAAAAAATTACAATTTTCATAACATAAAAATTAAAATTTTCTAATAATTAAACACTTAATTTAATGTCTCTGCCATTATGCCCAAAATGTATAGATAAGGTACTTTATTTTCAGATACCAAGGAGCTGACAAGATATCAAATCATGTTAGTAGGCCTGTAACTCGTAAAACATTTGATAAAAATGAATACCGTGGTACAAAGGAAAGCAAAATTATGGCTCTTTAATTGATGTAGTATCATCTTCTTCGGTTCGTACATCTTGCATAATTGCTTCAGGCATAGGCACAATAAGATTTTCTTTTGCCATTAAACTATATTTAATAACAAATTTTGTAAATCTCTGACATAGATATGTTTCATTCTGTAATATTTTATAATGTTTATTATTATCTATCATTTAGTTAATGATACTTATTTTACTGTATTTTTAAAGACAAAACAGTTTTATTTTTAAATATATTACTTCAAATTTATTATAGATGTTCCGATGATGGTAGTATGCGTGAGAAAATATCCTGTATACACGCCGACAGACGGATCCCAACTTTGCCACTGATGATTCCTTTATATTTACTCTATAATAATAAACAAATTACTATAGTCATTAGGTATCATTAGGTAAATACTATATTTTACCTTAATTAAGATACTTTATTAATATCTCAAGTTTATAGTTTTAAACAAAAATAATCAAAATTATATTAAAGACATAAGTTTAACGGTTTGAGTAAAAACATTAGGTATAGATAGTTTTATTTTTATTTCAACATAATTATATATGGAACTATTTGTAATAACTTGCATTATTTGTTATAATTATTTTTAGTATGATTCATAATTAAATTACAAATATTTTAACATTAGTAGAAAACTACTAAATAATAAATTAACTATCCATAGAATTGAATAGAAAAATTTTAGTTTATATAAAATTCAAAACAAATGTATAATATAATGAGCGAATCAAAAATAGATTTATTAAGTTATTAATTTTAAATATTGCTGTATTAAATCACATACAATAAGATAATCATGTTCAGAATTAAACATTATTATGATAATGTACTACAAAATTTTATTTCTAAATTCACTTGACATTGTATAAACATATTGCACCAATTATAAGGAAAACCGCTTATGTGCGTATATAGAACAGTAAATTAATTTTTTAAGTGTCATGAAATTAGCAATATTTTTTTAAAAATATTATTCATAAGTATGCGAAAAATTATCTCTACAATACTATTTAGATAAAATTATTTATTTCTATAATCATCTAAGCAAAAAAATTGATAAATTCTGCTTAAAAATCATATACAGCCTAGAAAAAAAACTATACACAATGCACACAATTGATAACCAAATTGATAAATAATTTTAAATATTACTCGATTATCAAATATGTAGTAAAGACTAATAATTACATATTGTATTTATTTTTTAACAATGGTTTATGCATAGTACCTTCAATTAAAAAATAAAAATAGTTTTACCGGCTAGGAAAATATTTATTGCTGTTCAATAAACAAGCAGCTCCATCTAAAGTATGGCGAGTATAATCGATAGCTGGACACTCTTTAGGAGTTTTATGAGCTGCACACAAAAATATCCACTGTTCTGTTGATGTCATTTGACTACATGTATCTGGTAAACATTCATTTTGCAACTCAACCGCTAGCCCATTTAGTTCCATACAAAACTGCCTATAAATGCAATAAAATATTGTACAAGATAAATTATTAGCACTAGTTATCCAAGGCTGTGATTGAAAATTACTCCTTACCTAAGATGTTCATATTTCCAAACTCCTTCTTCTTGAGAATCAGGCGGTGTCAATATTATATCAATTGCACTCGGATCTTTGCGTATTTGTTGTTGGATGAACTCTTGAACAGCTAATGTACTTTCCATTTCTTCGAATGGCTCATCTGGCCATTTACGAAAAGACTGCCAAGAGAAATCAAAGTTAAATTCCGCTAAAATTGAAAAAAATATGTTTCGCCTTACATTGGCTTTTGTCCCTGGCTTGTTGCGTTTCAACAATTTCTTTACTGGTTCGGCCATCTTCATTTTCAGTATTCAAATTCTACGCGAACGAATCGTGCGGTTCCCCGTACAAATCAAAAATTACTAATACTTAATAGAATTAATTACCTAAGCAATGCGTAATAAACTGTAATGCCTGTCAAACTCACGAACGAGTTCCGATTACGAACTATGTAAATCACCAAAGTAATCGACGATCATTGATTTATGCGTTATCACATCATACACAAACGGCTGCGATAGAATAAACTCGGGGCTGGTAACTCGATGGAAGAATCAGTGTCTTTATCACACGGAACGACGCTTCTGGGGGAGGGGATCAGTGCATATGCGCTGCTATCTAGCTGATGACTTACGACCAACAACTATAGGCGGATATTTGGTCACATCCGTGGGGAGGGGGGCTTAAAATTGTTGTCTTATCCATTAGCGTAAGCAAATATTTTTAGACGCTTCTACCTACTAACTAGTGGCTACTCCTACTTTATTCTAGTTAAGGCACCCAATATATACAGGTAATAGGAACATAAATATATAAAATGTTGAATAACTACTAATTTTTTTTTTTTAATTTACAATGTATAAATATATTCCTTTATTTCTTATATTACCCAAAAAATATCGTTTTCCCAGATAACGATAGTTCATTAATATTCCAGACCATTCTCGTATACCAATAAAATAAAATAAAAATGATAAATATCAAATATTAAAATACAAAAATTATTTTGACGTCTGGTGTACTTTGATTACGTTCATGGGGGGGGCTTAATCCCCCAAGCTCCCCCTCAATATCCGACTATGGCTACAACCGAGGTTTTATCGTTCAGCAACTCGTGGGTCTTTTAATAATTAATGGTACGGTGACAAAAGAGGCAGTGGTGTATTTTGGTGTATTTTTGGTGTAGGGGGATCTCGGGTCTCGACTCCCCCCCAGAAGAAAAAAAAAGGTTCAAAAGTCAAATTACTTGATACGTTGATACAAAGAAAATATTAATTTACATCATGTGGTTGTAAATAACTCTTCATTTGTATTTATAATAATAATAAAACAATATAATTATTAAGTCATATTTTATTTATATTTTTTATCATATTATAAAAAAATTGAAACCCTCCAAAAAAGTTTTGAAAATACGCCACTAATTTAATAAATTTAATTTAGTTATTTTAATCAGTAATCGCATTCTAATTATATTTATAAAATAGGTGCACAAATTATTCAATAGTAAATCGCTAAATTTAAATATTTATCATTTTATCATCATCAAAAAATTCTCAAAGCTCAGCGGTGATGACTGACGTACAAGCAACAATTATTTTGAAAGTGTCAAATATCTTCACCCTATGAGTGGCGGCGCATACTAGTTGGGTCCCATGATTCAGATTGTTCACTAATTGGGTCCCGTGTAAAATAGCCTACTGTACGAGTTGGGTCCCGAGTAAACCAGTCTACTGTACTAGTTGGGTCCCGTGTAAACCAGTCTACTGTACGAGTTGGGTCGCATAAAAAACATTTTCCTTCCCATTTTTACAGACTTAAGACTGTCTATAATAACATCTATAGTTACTACAGGTATGGTTAAAAATGTTTTGTTTCTAATTTTTTCCTGATTTACAATCGTTCTTCGTCCATCTGATTTTTAATGATTAATAATATTTTAATTTAAGGGTTGAAATTTATAAGACATAGTTTTTACGAATTCGTAGCAATTAATTTTTTTTAATATTTCTTCTGTCATTTTTTCTTTTACGAATTCTTCCTTAGATATTATACAGTTTCTTCTTTTTCCTTCTGGACTTCTCATTTTAATATAAACATCTATTTGAATATTTTTTAAAACGTGTGTAAATTGATATATATTTGGGTGAGCAGAATAAAACATAGAATTGAAGTGTGAGTGAAAGGATTCACATGCGTTTGTAGTTCTTATTGTACTAGGCTTAAATTCAGACCATAATCTTGAAAGGAACTTAGCGTCAGAATGTATATAATTGTTTAATAAATATTCCGTGAATATTTGTAATTGTTCGTCATCTGGTTGATTATTATTTCAACGGTAGAAAATACCTAATCTAAAATATTATTTTCGTACTGTATATTACTACGATAAGTTATCATTTTATTGCCAGAAAGTACGTCCTTAATCCATATTCGTACTTTATAATATTATATAATATAATTATTTTATATATTTGTATAAATACGTGGACCATGGACCCAATTCAGACAAAACATTTTATTCCCACGGACCCAACTCGGATGCAGCCATGAGTGGCACCGTGAACATCACTATACGCGGCGAAGGAATAAATTAAAAACGTGTTCAAATGTTTTATTTTGATTATATAGTTATATTATTTATATTCTAAAATAATTGCAGAATTTTATAGTAAAATATTTTTGTTTTAAAAATTAAATGATAATGAGAAAAATTAATATTATTTTATTAGGCCATTTTTTAAAAAAAACAAGGAATTCCTGAGATTACCTATTGTATATGACGGTATTGTCTAAACTATTGTTTTTTATGTACAGAAGTACACAGTGGTGCCGAAACTAAAAAATTCAACTGGAGTATATTTATAAAACGATAATATACTCCCCCATCCCAGGGTTAAAAACCATATAATATTTGCCTTTCACGAAAAATATTATTAAACAAATTATACATATTAACTGATCTACTGGATAGTATGTATTTACGAGTTAATTATTAACCGTTTGTTCATGATTCACATGAAGCAATAAATGGCTTACCCGACCACCACTGAAATATTATAAGGTAGGACATCTGCGAAATAAGGCTAATCTAGAATATACCACTGGCGGTAAAAGCAGTACCTGCTACAGATAGATAAAATTTGATTGATTGATAAAACAATAGAATATTTGCACAGCACGTGTCTTTTCAAACATGGACGATTGTTCTGTAATATCCAAGTTCCTCAATTTGTATTATATAATATATTCTCACTGAGTTGATAATTTATTCCAATAAACTATTAATCATACATAGTATTAATACGTCGAATCTGTATTTATAAAACAGTAAGCTGATTGACTGATCTATCAACGCACAGCTCAAACCATTGGACGGATTGGACTGAAATTTGACATAGAGATGGCTATTATGGCTAAGGCATCCGCTATGAAAGGATTTTTCTAAATTTTGATTTTAAAGGGTTGAAATCGGTAAAAATAATTTTTTACATGTAATTTGTATATCTATATTCATATAATAATAACAATAGCAGTCGACCGATTACGGGAAATACTGTACGGTACGGCGGCCAGAGAGTTTCCATCTACCTGTACTCTGACCTTTTTTTTTTTTTATTTAAAGGTTTACAGGCTTCAACTACAGTGGTTATTAGCCAACATTATGTTTAAGTTTAAGAAAAAGGAAAACAAAAATAAATTACAATATTAAAAATTACAAAATTTGTTTAAAAAGATTTACAATTGAATTTTTATTAAAACTATATTTTGTTGATGGATTATCTTTGGTGATGAATTGGATGGTTTTTAAAGTATGTTCTTCATTTAAGGCTTCTTTGATGTTGAGTGGGAGGTTGTGAAGAGTGCAGGTTGGCTCGTGTTTTGGGCATTCTTCGAAAATATGACTTATGGTGATGCAAGTTTGACATGTGTTGCATATAGGGGGTTGGTCTTTACTGATAAGGAAAGAGTGTGTGACAAGGGTGTGGCCGATTCTAATGCGGGTGATGGCAATATTTTGACGTCGGTTGAGGTCCGGAGGTGTAAACCATTGTTTCACGGAACTTTTTATGTGCTTAAGTTTGTTGGTAGGCGGAATGGAGTCCCAGTGGTGTTGCCATGACAAAAAGATTTTATTTTTGATGGACGTGAAAATATCATAGGATGATATTTTGTCGATGGTGCTGTTGGGTAGAACATTAGAGGCAAGGAAGGCTGCTTTGTCGGCCATTTCGTTACCTTTTATTCCTACGTGGGAAGGTACCCACATAAATTCGAAGGTTTTCTGGGTGTTGATTAGTTCAGATTGGGTAATTTGAGTGATCCCATTTCTGGGCCACTGGTTTTTTAGTGCTGTTAGGACGCTGAGGAAATCGCTGATAATCAAAAAGTTATTTGTTTAAAGCGAATTTGCTAGTTTAATTGCTTCGAGTATGCGTAGTTTTCGGCAGTGAATATGTTTGTTATTGTGGGAAGTTTGTGTTTAGTGGTCGTTTGATTATGAACAATTGCAAAGCCAACACCGTTTTCAGACTTTGAGGCATCCGTGTAGATTAGAATGTGATTAGGGAAACGTGATTGAATAATTTCGTGAAAATGAGATATTATAATCTTGTGGTTTATTTCATGTTTGCAAAGTGTGAGTAGATGTGTTATTAATTTTAGGTTCCATAGCCAGGGATGGTTTTTTTGAAAGATAATTTTTTCTTCGACGGAGGTATGTATATTCATTTTATTACATAAGTTGGAGTAGATATCGTGTATTGTTGTAAGTTTTTTTGTGACAATGCTATTTATATTTGAGTTTTGGTTTTTAAAAAGAGCTATATGGCCTATGTGGTAGGGAGTGGTTTTCCTTTTAATACAATGTAGAAGAGTGGTTTTGTCTCTTATGAGTTGAAGGGGTATTTCTCCTGCGTAACATAAAATACTTTCTGTGGGGCTTGTTCTGAAATCGCCGATTGAGAGACGAATTCCTTCGTGATGTATAGGGTCTAGTGCAGTGGTGGGCACACTTTTTTAATGGGGGGGGGGCACAAGGCTTAAGAAATTCTAGAGGAGGGCCAGAATTATAGAAAAAATGCATTTTGTGTTAAAGCTTTGAATCATAATATTCTAAAAACATTACAGCATTACAGACAAATGTTACAAATTACCTTTTACCTTAAATAATAATTAATTTAACTTTTATTCGGCAGCTCAACCATGGTAGGCGTGTGAGACATATGGAATTGTTTTTGATTTTCCATAATATTTTCGAAAGCAGGTTCCAGCTGTGATGAAAAAACTTTCAGCAGTGCGAAAAGGTGTTCATTAGTCAATCGGTTTCTGATTGAGTTTTTCCGCAATTTCATGGTCGAAAAAGTTTGTTCGCACACATAAGACGACGCAAACATCGCCATAATTTTCTGGGCAATTATTTTTGGAAATTCGGCTTTCTGCAGTGCTCTATAAAAATCTAGTTTTGTGGAATTCAAAAACAATTGCTTTAAATGGGTACTGCACTGCATTTCTGCAGATACATTTATA